TTGCGTTTTATATGCCATTAGAAGAAGAAAAAAGTTAGAATACGAGTTTAGCTTTTGTTAGCAATATTGAATTGATTTAAATGTATTCTATTTCATAATTTTTAATAATTTTTTTAAAATTGATTATCCTGCAAATTCTGTGATATTTGGAAGCGAGTATTGCTAGTGTTGAAGATCTTCAGGCTCATAAAATATCATGGAATACGCATATATAAGCTTAAATGAATTTATTGTACTTTGGAGTAAACACTAAACCTCTGAACTTTGAGATTCTGATTTTTCATGTGAAGATATATATAGTTCTTCATCAACAAAATGAAGTTCAAAGTTTATCTGATATTGTGATACATTAAATTATAACCAAAAAACCAAACAAATAACTTTAGTTTCCTTTTAATCATCTAGCTGGTATATCATTTCATTCAATATTACTTTCGCAGTATAATAAAACGTAACTAAAAAGCTTAAAGTCAATATTGCTATATAATTCATTTGGAATTAAGACCCACAGATAATGTTAAACAAGGCTAAAAGGGGTATGGAAACACTTACCAGATTTCCATAATTCTGGATGGCAAGATTCTCTTGTCATTCTCTCAAGATGCGACAATTTTGTTTGGAAACATATTAACAAAGCGAAAAATGAGCCTCACTATACATTCGTTTGTCAAATTCTGTATTAGAATCCGAACTTATAAAGTAAAATCCACACAGTAAAATAAAAACGCTAAATTAAACATTTATGCTTTGAGTGACAGGTCTGTTTGACATATATTTGAAATATTGCTCCAAACACAGCACATCGATATGGATAACCGCTTACACACAGAGGAATGTTGTGTTGTAACTGATATCTGTAGCCACAAGCACTGTATCAAGACAAGCCGATTAAGAGATTATCATAGAAGTACGTAGACTCTATTAAATGGAAACAAATCTTTAGAATCGGTTGTGTTGTGTTTAATCTACTTTCTTTTAGGGATACCGGCTTATATATAATATGTCTGTCGTATCCATGCACCACCGAAACTTAAGTTTTTAATACTTTTTTAGGTGACAAACAGTGATAAGATGTACACATTTTAATGTAGATGATCTCTATTTTAAAATCATCATTCTAGATTTTTATATTTCTGTTGCTCCATTATTCAAAAACTTGTACCTAGTTCACACTTCTTCAAATTCTCTATTCTCTATAAATTCTCTTTATTCTCATTGAACAAAATCTTGGTCACTTATACAAACATATTTTCAAGTTACCGTTGTTTGCTTTCGAAATTATATATATTCGATTGGTTTATCGAAGTGGTATCGAGGTGATATACCACATAATCTTAATCTAATACTGCAACGAAGGGAGTTTCTATATCTTTCAGCATTATACTGATGTATAACTATTGTCATTTTCTATTTGCTTTTGGCATACGATTTGCCAGAGAGATTGCAGACGACTTGGCTGCCTGTTGTACGAAGTACCTATCCCTTGTTATTGTTCCCCTCTTGTACGTCTTCCACTGAAGAAATAATCGCCTACAATCAGTCAAGTTGTCTGAGGAGGAAATTTGTTGTACGAATAGTTTTCAACAAATGCGCCTTTAAAATTAAGTGTTTTTGTCGCTCTAATAAAGCAATATTTTCTCAATTGCTCTTGTAATTAATTATTAAATATGATTTGCATTTGCTTTCGAAAAATGAGATTTAAAAACGACTGCGAAAATAACGAATCGAGAAAAGTCTAAGAATTTTCGCTGCAAGTGCAAGCACATCTCGTTTAAAAATAAAAAAGAATCAGAATTTTTGTTAACATCAGCAGCACGACGACGGTTTGTCGACAATCGGGCAATTGCTGTCATCCCGCGCACCGGCATTATTTCGGTGCACCACTTCGCCACGACTGTTGATGGTGCTTATTGTCTTCCGTCTCATTTGTAGCAATCGGCGAGCGTTAGTATACTTTGTGTGTGCGCGCATAGCTTATGGTCGGGGCCAACAGACGCATCCATCCGTCAGTTCTTAATATTTTCCATTTGTTGTTCGCTTGTTATTTATTTGTTTCGCAATTGCTTATTGCTGATTGCGGGCTGATGTTTTCGTCCCAACCCACTGCCGAGATGTCCTGGCTTCCATCCTCCGCAGCCACGTGCCGCGCTTGCTGCAGTGCAACGGCAGCGCCGTGTCGCTCGGTGCTGTGAGACGCACAGTGGCGTTGTCATGTTGCACTGCACTTTTCAACATCTTCTTGTGTGTGAAATGTCATTTTCGCATATTGTAGTGCCTCCGTAATTTGCTCACATGCGATACGCCCAGAGTTGACAAGTACTTGTCACTGAAAGCTGCTGCTGTTGTTGTCGATTTTTGACTATTTTCGTTGGTTCTCTAGCGGATTTAAACAAGAAATGTGTCACTTTGCGGCAATTAATGAATTTTTTGCAATCATTTTTTCTTGCACATTTTTTGCCCATTTTTTTTTGGCTTGATGTTTTATTTTTTGCAATATTGCAAATTAATGTTCAATGGAGGAATGCGGACATGAAATTACATTAAAATTTGGATCCTGCATAAATTCACTTTCTTCAATCAGCAAAATACTGCTGATGTGAGTGGTTATATAGAAGCCATCAGTTAGTGGACAGAAATATTAGATAAAAAAACATCTAGAAATTAACTATAAACAAATAATTCTCTTTTGTGCACCGTTCGATTGGGAGTGACTACTTCTTAATTAACTTCTTAATTAACTTCTACTTCTTAATTAAAAATGTTTGTATGTTTATAAAATCGCTATACGGCATATGGGTGCTTTCAGTCTATTTACACTCCATGCAGCTTTCTTTTTTATCCATAAAAGAATGAATCCATAAAGAATTCATTATTCACTATTACTTCCATTGGTGGGACAAGTACATGTAATACCCGTCTATAAGTTCATGGAATTGATTGTAATTTCCCTACCGCAGCAGTTTGTTACTGCCAATAGAAGATCTAGCTCGTTAGGTCCCAACATTTTCACGATAGAGCTTTACAAACTCTACAAGTCTAGATGGCAAAAGTTTCTTTAATGACGAATTGTTCACGGAGAGTGAACCACTAAAATCACCTAATAAATATTACTACCTAGCAGTTGAAAACTGGTCTATTGAGTATGTGCGCTCGATTCACAAAAACCAAATTCACAGAAATCAAGAAATAGCTTCGCATAGCGAAATCAAGCCATGATCTAAAAGCAGTAGAAATAGAAGCATGTAAAGAAAAACTATACCCACCATGAAGATTCTACACAAAATATTGTTTTTAGTGACGTGCCTCAAATAATTAATAATCAAAAGAGAGTCACCAAAGAAAAATAACAAAAGCAATCGCAGGAGCGGCTGATATAGATTATAACACCCTACGAATCATCTGTAAGAGAAACAAGATACAATTTGCTTCACAGTGTTCATATCATAATCAGGTGATCCAGGTTTTGTGACATTTCTTTATCTAGATTTTCTGAGTAATTGGTTAGCAAACTCAGTGATACTCGTATAACATATATAAAGTATTCCTTATTATCGCAACAATCTTAGCATTAATAGTCGCTTTGACTGACTGTAACTTCCTTCAAGTGTAAAATTGTTGCAAGTATTTTTGTGAATTATCACTATAAAGCATCATAAGAAAATAGAGATGCAGAAAAAGTAGATAAAAAAATTTAATATAAGATCTCTCATAACAGATGTAGTAATAATGTATGATAGAACAAAGTAGTTGGGACTAATCTTATATAAAAATCGTCAACTACACATTAGTATATTTCCATATACAGGGCTCAAAATAGATTACATTCGACATTGTCCAAAATAATTTACTTTGCTAATATCGTTTCTTACCCTTCTAATATGTTTTATACTAGTAGGGCAAGATTAATTATCTGCAACAGTAGCGGGGCCTGGACGTAGGGCACACCAATGGAAGTCTTAAATGACTAATAGGAACCTTACCTCGAAGTAATACTAACGTAGTCCCGGGGTAGAACAAGGTCTCTAGGAATGAGGGGGAGTGGTTTAGCCCGTGCGAGTCTGGCATTCACCTTCCGGGGCGCAGGATTGTGGTCAGTGCGTAGGCATTCCACTCCTCCTTGCCGCAAAAAAAAAAAAAAATATGTTTTATACTTGATGTGCTTCCAAAAGACTATTGCATGATTTTCTAATGCCTGGAGTCAGATACACGTGGCAACAGCTTTTTATTAACCAATTTGAGTCCATACAATGAGGCATCTGTGTCACCATTAAAGTTGGTGAATTGATGTTCTACAAATTTCTACACAAAATATTCGAACCAATTTCTAAATTAATACTTGTTTGGTTGCAGTGGGAGGTCATCACATAACTTTCCATGTACCTCAATTAGCGATTTTTCGTCATTTCACCACCTCATTTCTCGCAAGAACTCTAAAGATAGAAAAATCTAGACTAAATCTATTACCTCGAATTTAGATAACTTAATAAGTCTTTCATTTTTACCGATGAGCAGTCTAACAAGCAATCAAAGAAATATCCTATTCTTCTGGACGACATTCAGCTGGACATTCACAGTGAATATGTTGAATGGTTTCTTTTTCCTAAAGGTTGTCACAACTTTTGCAGAGGGGATTATGAGGAATGCATACCAATGACCGAAAAGCAGTAAGATTTAAGGTGTTGCACAATCCGTTTTGATGAATTCCAAAATCTAGTTTTATTATAGGTTAATCAGGAAATTGCACACGGCTTAGAATTAAAAAACCCAATTAATTTCGGGCTAATTTCGAGTTTTTTTGGAAATGTAAACTTATGGAAATTAAGCATGATATCACTTTCCTATAAGATGAAATGCTGTGATAACAATAAAAAGAAATATCTGACATAACGCAAGAGCGTGAAAATCATTATTTTAAGGATCGGGAAAGACGAACGATTGGAATTTCGTTTTAATTTTTTTATTTAAATTAATTATAATTTTATTATTTCAGTTATAATTGAATGATAGGTTATATATGTATATACTCAAAATACTGTAAATTATCTTTTAAACCGGTATTACTACAACAGATCTCCATCGTGGAACCATAAAAACCTCCAGTAAATAATTTTTTTCTTGTGTTTACGTTTAATACATAAGCTATGTTTCTTTTGCTCCTCACTTGTGACTACTCTCATAGCATTGTATACTGTAAAGGTTGATGTGTTTCGCCTTTAGTTTCAATTATTAAATAGCGAATGACGTGGTCGTAGAAGATGATTCTAATGTCAGTGGATCCGTTGGCGTATCTGATGCATATGCAGGGGTATATAGTGATGCAGTAGATGATAAATGTGTTGCTGATTCTGTTGCACTTGGTGTAGTTAGTCCTGTTAGCTCTGTTGGTTCTGTTGGTTCATCAGTTGTTAATGAAAATGGTTCTAACACTGTTGTACGAGTAGGTAAAACTGTTTGAGCAGGTGTGACCTTAACTGGTGTTAGTGCTAATTTAGTAGGTACTACCTTAGGTGCAATTATCACTGTTTTAGTTCTTGCTGACGCTGCTTTTGTGTCTGTTGTTTTCTGATCATAGTAAATGTGATAAATTTTTCCAGCTTTGCGTTTAGGTGCAGTTAAATCTTTGAAGTAATCTTCATTTAGGGTCCAAAAGTCCAACTTTTTACCATTAGAAGTACACACACACATATAGCAAGGATTTTGCTTAACACAATGCACAGGGCAGGAATTTTCTTTTTGTTTAAGCTTATGAACACAATTACTACTGTTAACGTCAAAAAGAAAAGCATCACTGCTTGAACTACCAGTAAAAAGTAAATTGGAATTATGGTTAAAACTGGTTTCAATAACGACTCTAGAGTCCGTGGAAAACCCAGTGTATGTACGAATTGGTCCGATAGTATGCGCGTTTATAAGTTCAACAAAATCATTACTAGCAACTACCATTTTTCGTCCATCTGGGGCAAATTTAATGCAACTGTAAGTATTGAAAACACAGCGCCTGGCATAACTCATTATAGCACCAAGATGTGAAAGCCGCATATCATATATGTGTACACCATATTCATTGCACCCCGCAATCCAGAGCCCATCTATGTGACAAGCAACCGCTCCGCGAGCATTGGTTTCAAACGTAGTATGCGATTCCGGTATGCGCAAATCCCATATTTTTATTTTATTTCTATCGGTGGATGTAACGAAATGGAATGGTACTGGACTGAGACACAACGCATCGGTGTTTTCTGTATTGCTGTAGTAGTCGCATACATATTGCTTAGCTTCTATATCAAGCATACGTACTACTTGTTGTCCATTACAGGTAACGTGAAGAACCTTATTTTTGTCATGAGTAAAATTCACATGAGAGGCGCCTTTTTCCTGACAATTGATCACAGAGGGATTGCCATTTATTATAATATTATGAGTGCTAATCATATCACCGCAAGCTGCGACCACCATCGATCCTTCTCGAGAAAAGTCAATAGAATTAATTATGTCACCTTGTATATGACTCTCGGTTAGTTCTAAATTAAATTCGGGTGTTTTATGTGTAAACTCACTAAAGGAATTTTCCATTCTGAAGTTCGATCTGAAAATACAAAACATCCAAATTTATATAAGGCTAAGATACATACATATATATAGCTTATTAAAGTTTTTACTACCATTCAACTGAGAAATGACTGGCTCTCTTAAAATGATTACAAAGCTTTGGTAAAAACACAAAATCGGAAACATGTCTGATTTCGATAAAGTTAAGCAATGACTTAAGATTTAAAGATAACTGCTAACAGATATATCAAACAGACTCCTTTGAGAGTCACCATGGAACAAACGTTGCACTCGTTAAAAATCAATTAGTTTTAAATTCTGGTACCGACTTCTCAGTAAAGAAGGATTGAGGAAATACAAGTACCGGTACATTCACACCTACAATATTTTAGGTGGAATTCATATCTATTCAATGTATATTATCGTCAATGCTTTTTTCAGAAACTCTCCGATATGTATTCATTGTCATTATCGTAAATTTATTTTTCGCTAGTTTTTCTATTGTCTATTGTTTTCAAGAGATTTCAAGTTTAAGTAGTAGGCATTTTTTCACTTCAAGAGATTGAAATAATTGAAAATTTTTGAGTTTTAATAAATATTTACAATAGAGTCATAATTAGTATCCAAAAAGCCTATCTAAGTGTGCTGAATTAAGTGTACCGTATTAAGTAAAGTAAACGTGAAGTAATGTTGCCACCTTACAAGATATATATGCTTATCAACAAATTATCTATTAAATTTGCATTGCTATTCTACTTCGCGAAAACCAATAGTCTACTCTTCAGTTGAATCCTAAGAGACCAAAGTATTCTCCGAAAAATGTCTCGTTTTGTGCATTATTAATGGTTGTTACGTTTAGTCAAAATATAAATTTTAGATATTTCTTATGAATTCAAAAGTATAGTACTTACCTGACCAAAACTCAGGAAAAACTTTTTGAACTTAGATTCCAAGAAAAGACTTTCGATTTTGTTTGTTATGTCAATTCCTTTCCATAAAATTGCATGTAAAATATATAAGGATTTGGAGAATAAAAAGTGCAACCGATTTTGATTTTGAAAATTTATAATGAAAAAAGATCTACAGAATAGCTTACATTATAATGTCTAGTTTTGAAAATTCTGTGAAAACTTGATTAGAATTTTGGCATATATGTATATAACAGAATTTTTAAAACAAAAATTATATTTCATCAGACAACCATGTACATATAAGTTTAAAACGGCGTCTTGTCTCTTTCGGATTATATGTAGGTTAGTTTCTAGTATGAGAAAGGTTTTAGTTCAACTGAGGCAAGAAAGTGCTCATTATTATCAAAAAGTTGGGAAGAAAAAAATAGTTCCAGCGCGATAAGTACATCACGACTGACCTAAAGTTTTCTTTTCAACCATTCGTACTATGTATAAATTATTATAATAAGAGAACACAGAATAGTATTAAAGTATAATTACTTAATTAATTTAATTATTCTTCACCTGGTTTATGAATTCGTTCTAATATATCGCAGCAAGTGGGTTTGTTAATAAAAACTTCCACATCAAACTAACAAAACTTCAGGAAAATGTGCGAACATAAAAGTCAAGTACGGCTTTGGGTCAGTTGGTTAAGGAGCGCTAACTCTGAGCTTCAAATTCGGCAGGGCACGAGTTCAACGCCTAGTACTTATAGTCTCAAAAAATTATTTATGAACAATTAAATACAAGAAATATTTCCAACACCACTGATGATGTATATTTGGCAATACTCGAAACAGCTGTAGGGTCAGCCAAAAATTTAATTAATTAAAATTATATAAAAGAAATTTTGTTGTTGTAGTTCTCAACTTTTCGAAACCTCTTTATCAAAGGTAATTCTTATTGCTCATATTATTATTACTATTATCAGCACTAATAATTTATTGTACACTTATTATTACTATTATTTATTGTACGTCATATCAGGGGTGCTAGACAAGCTTTGAGTCCAAATTTTTGTAAAGTTTTGTTATTGTTTAATTTTTATGGAATATTCTCATAATTCGAAACGATTCTCAAATTTTACCCGATACAGTGTACTACATTGAGGCATATGAAATATAATTCTTAGAGTGGTTATAACCTTTTTATTTATATAGCTTATATGCCTTTAGAGTTAATCTCTTAACCTTAGCTTCCCTTAACTTGCCTTCAATCAGTTTGAAAAGTTTTTTTATGAATAGGCCTTTTCGGTGGCTCGCAAGTACGGCAAAAAATGCATGTTGGCCTATGTTGGCCACGCGAGTGATTGGCATCACTGTTGCAATCTGTCAAATGTTTTGTTTTGACAAACAGCAAATCTTGTATATGTGCATATAAATCAAATATATTTTTATAAAAATATTATAAAATTAAAATGAACACAGAATTAAAAGGAATGGTAAGAATATTGGAAATTTAAAAATAAAACACTAAGATAAGTAAATTTTTGTAGGTACTGTCGATATAGGGAGAAGAAAGCAACGTTTTGCAGCGGCCGAGGAATGCAAGTTATTTCATGGATTTTTTAAATGTTATAAATGTTCGTGTCAAGTAGCACTCTAGAAAACACTTCGTTTCCTTTGTGGTCCATAGTTTGCGTATATATCTATAAAAAAAATTTTTAGAAAAACTTCAAAAATTATGTTTGTTTTATTAATTTTACGTATGTAAACTACAAATTAAATGAAATAAAATAAATGTTACTTGGTAATAACTAACATAATAAAAAATTCAATGTGCTTAATACTTACGATTTCTCCATTCTTATTATTTCTTCCTTACTTTTCATGATTTTTCAAATTTTTGAATTCTGTTTGAATTTTTATTTCCTCAATTTTTGACATTTGATTGCACTATTCGTTGGAATTTTCAATGAAGGTTCACAATAGTTCGCTTATTGCGTTGGTAACATTTTTTTTTTTACTGGCCGATGTGGTTGGCCTGCATAACTATGCTGGCCGAGGTAGAGAAAATAGTGTTGTTGTTTTGCGTACATTGCGGCCAGTATAGGCCTGCATAGGCCAACAACTTGCTGTTTTTTGTCGTACTTGCGAGCCACCGAATACGCCTAATTTTGGACATTGCAACTGACAAATTTTGGGCTGGTGTGCCGTGTTTGTGATATGTTACTAATATTGGTTTTTTTTCTTTCCTCTTAACCAATTTAGCATGACTCAGTTATTATGTGATTATTTCCGAGGTAGTCAATTAATAACGAAAGGTTGCATTTTTTTGAGGTCTTCGTATTTTTCAACCAACTAATTTGTAGGTTAAATTGACTATAAAAGTATTGATCAGAAAAAAATACTTTTCGAACAGCAGTAGGACAGTTAAGCCTCTAAGAAGCTGATTGCGATCAAATAAATGGTAGTAAGAAGTAATTTCTAGGTAATTCCATAAAGTTTTTAAGGTTGTAATCGGTAATGGTAGCAATAAGTTTTTGTGCTATGTATAAGAATTTGGCCATATCAAAAATCTCTATAAATTTCTTTGATGGAAAAACGTACAAATTATTTAAAATCGTAGAAATTGTTATAACCAAAGTCAAATTTTTCGCAATTTATTTCTTTAATAGTACATTGTGACTCATGTGATCTATTGTGGTGTCTCTGTGGTAATTTTTTTTAAGCTAACCCAGATTTTTTTGGACTATTGAGAAGCCAAAACATTATTCCTTCTGATTCAGTGAAATTAACGAGACTTATTTGGTTACAGTCGCAAAGCATGAGCACAATAAGCAAGTGGAAGTTTTACTCATCATTTCCACGAATCTGCTGGTGTTGGTGTCCTTGAGTTCTACCTTTGAAGACTGATTGTCCACTTAATAAGCAAGTAATAAATCAGAGTTCTGTTTCTTTAGACTGATTTGTTGTGTTGTTTGGATTCCTTTGAATCATTGAAATTAGCACAACCTTATCACTTAATTTACAATCATTGATTATATCTACGAATAAAGTATGACAAGTAGCTTGGGGCTTATGAAGAGATTAAACACATTTTCTTTTACAATTTGTCCAAAGCAATATTCTTCTCAATGTTAGTACTTAATTGCCAACGATGTTGGCAGCGTCGCCAAACGCTGTAGTGGTGGACGAAAAAAAACAGTAACATCACCTGAAATGGTTCGGAAAGTGAAGACTCGACTTGAACGAAATCCACGTCGTAGTGGTAAACAAATGGACAAAGAACTAAAAATATCCCAGCAAAGCATCCGACACATATTCCAAAATGACCTCAAGGTAAAGCCTTACAATATCGAAAAGTCACAGGAAATTGCAATAAAACAACAAAATGTTAGACTCGAAAGAGCAAAGTAATTATTACGCTTGCACGAACGTGCCGAATTTCGAAGCATTGTGTTCTCTGATGAGAAAAATTTCCCCATTAAGCAACTCATAAACTCTCAACATGATCGTATTTACATAACTAATCGCACTGCCGTTCACTGCCATTTGCCACTACGAATTTTCCATCTCAAGTCATAGTATGGACAATTGTAACCACCGATGGACGCTTTCTAATCGTTTACACCGATTTTGCGATTTATTATCAGGAAAATGTCTTGGAATTTGTTTTAGAGCCGTAAGAACGTAAAAATTTCAGTCGTTGTAACACATTTCATTTCGTCCACACTATGGCTTTCGAATTTGCCAGATGCAAATCCGATGGATTATTTTGGCTGGGCCATTTTAGAGAACAAGGTGAGGACTAAAAAATATGCCAGTATAAATGCGTAGAAGAAAGTCATTTTTCAAACGTTTGTAGGTCAAGGCAAAAGGTGGCCACAACGAGCTATATTAAAGTGAATGGATTCTGAAATTTTGATTATTTTTACAATTTTTGTAATTTGGGCGCTCTAATAGGTGATACTTCATTCGTCTAACCCTCTGAGTAATATGTGGAAATGAATAATTCACCGTTACTGGCATGTAGAACGAGCGGTATCCTATCTAAGATCCTACTGCTAAGTCATAGTAGAGTGCACTCCGAAAACGGATTCCAAACATCAACTTTCCAAATTCAAATGTAAATCGCTGCTATTGACTACGTGCAGAGCTGGTGAGAGTCAAAGGTTAGCTATTATATATTTATGTTAGTCATTTGATATATGATCAACTCAAAATCTAATCTTTCCAGTCTCTCATTAGCTAAACTACATAATTTGTTAAGCTCTTCAAAGCTTTTGTCAGGAATGTGTGTTTTTATGATTGCCACAATCAAATCGTCAAAAATTTTTTCAAATTCGGTTTAAAAAGAAAATGATTTGGAATTCAATTTCCAAACTGTGAATAATTAAGACGACACATTGTGGCTTGTGACAAAATAAACCAACCGACAAATTTGCCTAAATTAGCCGGCAAATGTGAAATCGTTAAGGTTTTATGACAAAATACTCTGTTTGACCACAAAGGCAGAAATCATTGTCAACTCAAATGATTAACGTAACGAAACCCGTTGAAACTATAAAAATCAGACTTAAAACAAAAGAATTCATAAATTAATAGAATTTAAAACATAAATAAAATTGATTTGGATTTTTGAATTTTGATTTCAAATTTTAGATCTTGGATTTTGGATTGGCGATGAGATGTAGTAAACCTAATACGCTTGTTATACGTTATTTTAAAAATTCAAAATTTTAATAACAGAATCAAGTATCTTCAAGCGATAAATCACAATTAAGCAAATTCACCTCCTACCGAACAATATTAAAACTTTCTGTTATGATTTCGTTCGTGTGATGAGCTCAGAGGTGTGCTTTCAATGGATCAAAAGATTGCGTTATTTACACTTCTTATTTCTTTATTTTTTTTATATATATTATTGTATAGCTGTAGGTAAGCTATACCTATATAGGTACCTATACATAAGTAATTGTCCAACGTTGCTTTGATGTATATCTCTAAATGATGAGTTACTGAATAACAGCTGTTAACAGCTTACTTACTAACAGCTGTTTGAGTTCTTACATAGAAAGAAGTCGTATCCTTTGAATACTCCTTAACAATTTAAATGAATTCTCCACTTTGTGATTCTAAATACAATTGTCTT